ATAATGAAATCTCAAAGGTTTAATTGAATATTTTTTTTTGTACCAAATCACACAGTTTTGAAGTCCTGATTACACGCCCCAGGAATTTATTTGCCTGAGAAAAGTTGCATTATGGATTACAAGATCAAAGATTAATTTCACTGCTGCAGACTCATTTGTACAGCTCAGACGACAAAGTGTACAGTTCATGGAATCTTGTAACACCATAAAGTTTTCCAACGTTACATTATTGGGGAGGGGGAGGATATATTTCGATAACGGACAGGCTGGGCAGACCAAATGTGCTTTTCTCCTTTTGGCAAAGAAAAAAAAAAGGAAGGGGGAGGAACCTCTGCTTCCAATACGCTTCCAATTAATCCCTTAGGAACGTTTGAGATCAATCCCACAGGCTGATCGGAGATTACCTTTTGGGCAACGCGCTGTGTACAAACGTGTGAAGATTTTTGTGTGTGTGGTTAGGCTTTAAGGAAGTCGTGAATACTATTGAGAGGTGGTGGCGGGGGGGATATATAATATATTTGATGCTACTCACTACCTGGTTTGTTAACATTCCCTTCATGTTGGACTCCAAAGAACCTCTGCCAGTGATTGTAGACAATACTGAGCCAGGCAGGCCAAAAACAGTAAAAAGCCCAGTAGCACCTTTAAGATTAATAAACTTTATTGTAGCGTAAGCTTTCGAGAAACACAGCTCTCTTCATCAGATGCATGGAGGGTATGAAGAAACTGGCCAGATATAGCTATACCTATATCTATGCAGACAGATAGATAGAGATATATTGATGCAGCTGAATGGAATACCTGAAAGGCAGTTACTTCTGGTAATGAGTTGGATGGTCATCTCGTTACCAGAACTGACTGCCTTCCAGGTATTCCATTCAGATTCATCAACAGAAGGAAGGGGGTCACACCCAGCCTGGATTGCACATTCTACCTTTCCCATGACTTTTGCTACTGCTTCGCATTCACATAAGAACATAAGAACATGCCAATGTTGGATCAGGCCAAAGGCCCATCCAGTCCAACACTCTGTATCACACAGTGCCCAGAAATACCAGATGCCATCAGGAGGTCCACCAGTGGGGCCAGGACATTAGAAGCCCTCCCACTGTTGACCCCCCCAAGCACCAAGATGACAGAGCCTCACTTGCCCCAGAGTCCCTATCTATACCTTGTGGCTAATAGCCACTGATGGACCTCTGCTCCATGGCACATGGCACGTTCTGCATCCTCCCCTCCCCTTGCCACCTATATATCTCTGGCCAGTTTCTTCATACCTTCCATGCATCCGACGAAGAGAGTTGTGTTTCCTGAAAGCTTATGCTACAATAATGTTTGTTAGTCTTAATGGTGCTACTGGGCTTTTTACTGTTTTGCAGCCACAGACTAACGCACCTAACTCCTCTGGATATGGGTATATCACAGGCAGCTTCATATACCCCCATGTTAACCACTGATACTCCGGGCTTACTCTTTCTCCTTTATGCTTTTCACTGACTCTGGCATCCGACATCATGATTATGTGCTACTGTTCACCTTCCTACCATTTACTCCACTCTCGGAACTATCCTGCTTTATAATTGTGTGTGGGGGGGGGATTGTGCCGTTCCCACCTCTGACCTGGCTGGTCCAGGCTAGCCTAATCCGGTCAGATCGCAGAAACTAAGCAGGGTCAGCCCTGGTTGGTCCTTGGATGGGAGACCTCCGAGGACACCCAGGGCACCTGGGCGGAGGCAGGCCATGGCAAAGCACCTCTGCTTGTCTCTTGCCTTGAAAGCCCCGTGGGGCTGCCATAAGGCAGCTGCGAATTGACAGCCACTCACACACACACTACAGGGCTCTTTTTGTAGAAAAAGCCCAGCAGGAACTCATTAGCATAATAGGCCACACCCAACTGCAGAAACTCATTAGCATATTGGGCCACACCCACATGTTACCAGAAGTATGTTCATCCAGCCACACCCACCTTTTGCTTGTTATTCTGTTTACCTTGTCTGTTGTCAAAACCCAGGGCCTTTTTTTGTAGCAGGGACTCCTTTGCATGTTAGGCCACACACCCCTAATGTAGCCAACCCTAATGAGTTCCTGCTGTTGGGTGTGGCCTATTATGCTAATGTGTTCCTGCTGGGCGTGGCCAACTCGGGAGCCAGCCGGAACTCCGTTCCTGTGCGTTCCTGCCCAAAAATAGCCCTGCACATCCCTAGCTTCTTAGGTCGTCTCTTCTTTTGTTTGCTCTGGCTGTTTCTGAGCAGCAAGAAGGGTATGCCTTGGGGTGGGGTTTGGTAAGGAAAAAGGCTATATCATCAGCAGTGGGCTGTCATATACAACCTGAGGACACTGAGCCCACATGCTGATCTTGACCATTAAAAACGCAGCACTGCGGCCAGACAGTACATGCAAGTATCGACTCATCTGAATTTTATCGCTCCCCCCCTCCGCCCCAACTGACCTTGGAAGAAAAATTTCTTGACAGTAGTTAAAAATATTCTCTAGCAAGAATATTATTACGGACTAACCCTGGGGTAGGTAACCCCCCGGGCATATATCTGGAACAAAAGACACAGCAGACCACTGTTCTTGATGTCCTGGGCTGGTCGTCCCCCCTAGCAACTGAAGAAAGCCCCCAAGTCACAGGCAGTGAGTGAGAGGAGGCAACTGGCATGGCTTATGCCCGTCATCGCTTCCCAGAGCCATGCATCTGAACAGGGCTTTTTTTGCAGAAAAAGCCCAGCAGGAACTAATTAGCATAATAGGCCACACCCAACAGAAAAAACTCATGAGCTTATTAGGCCACACCCCTGGCAGCACAGCTTATTAGCATATTAGGCCACACCCCATGCCTTCCCTTGGCTTGCCCGGGCAAGCCCACCCTTGAAGGGAAGTCTGGGGAAGCCACAGGGAGGCATTTAAATGCCTCCCTGATCCTTCCAGGGTTGCGGGTGTGTGTGTGTGTGTCGCTCTCCAGGCCTTCCCTTGGCTGTAGTGGGCGTGGCCAACTCTGAAGCCAGCCGGAACTCCGTTCCTGTGCGTCCCTGCCCCAAAAGAGCCCTGCATCTGACCCCTGGGTCCAAAGCAAGCCCCAGGGGGCACTGGCACAACCACCAGGGTTCAGCTTGCCCTCCCAGTGGCCTGGCCAAGTATCTAGGAACATAAGAACATAAGAGATGCCAATGTTGGATCAGGCCAAAGGCCCATCCAGCCCAACACTCTGTATCACACAGTGGCCAGAAATACCAGATGCCATCGGGAGGTCCACCAGTGGGGCCAGGACATTAGAAGCCCTCCCACTGTTGACCCCCCCCCCCAAGCACCAAGAAGACAGAGCATCACTTGCCCCAGAGTCCCTAGCTATACCTTGTGGCTAATAGCCACTGATGGACCTCTGCTCCATATGCTTATCTAATTCCCTTTTGAAGCCGCCCATGCTTGTAGCCGCCACCACTTCCTGTGGCAGTGAATTCCAAGTGTTAATCTCTTGCCTGCTTTTGTTTACCAGCAGACCAGCATCTTCACAGGCAGTGGGGATACTGTTTTTGGCAGTCGGGCCATAAAAGTTGCCTCCCTCCATGCTAATCGTTCTGGGCACGGGCCTCACAAACTGGAAGATGCCTTCCAAGCGAAGGAGCAGTGAAGGTTCCCCCCACCCCCACCCCCACGGCACTGCTTTTCTTGATTATGGTTATATCCAGGTTTGGAGAGTGTAAGTTACAAGGATACTGCTCACTTTCCAGTTAGTAAAAGAAAATAATAAAATATAACATATTCATATTACAATATGACACTTTTTGTCTACAATGTTCCTTTTTGTCTTCTTCTCCAGGATTCTTTTTTTTTTTTAAATATCCCGTAAAAAAAAATCTAAAATAGTTGGAAGTAAAAAATGAAGGGAAAAAAAAAGAGCTGACTGTGTATCCCCCCCCCCTTAAGTTCTTCTTTACAGTGATATGGTAGCAAATGCAAGGGGGAAAAATGCAATAATAAAAGTCGTACATCAGGCATTCTGGTCCCATCTCCGCCAACAGGGCTCAGGTTGGAGTAGAAAATGAAAGCAATTGACAAATATTAGAGATTGGTGGGATTTGTCTTTTGGCTGCAGCTTTGGTAGAGAATGATCAATGACTAAGACGTATTGCAAAAGAAAGGGTTTTTGATAGATATTGAAAAACACCAGAATGGAAAGTTAACCCTGAGCATGAGGCAACTTGGTCTATCACCCAGATCCAGAACTTTCAAGGGGCCCCCTCAAATCCAAAGAAAATGAGCCACCTGTTGAAATGAACATTAACCCACAAAGTCCCAGTGAAACAACTGGGAGTTGCAACTAAGTTGTTCTACTGACTTCAATGGGATTTAAGCGGGACCCATATTCTCTGGATTAGGGCCTAAGATTGCAGTAATGAACATTTGCAAACTCGTGTGCTTGCCCTTTGACCTCAGTTAGGAGGGCATTTGGAGCTCCCACACCCGTAAAAGAGTTCTGGATCTTGGGGTACGCTTCCATCTCAGTTCCACTTCCGCCAGTTTAGTAGATCCTTTTTTCAACCCCCCTCTCAACCCCAGTACCGGTAGCCGAAGTGGAACAGAAAGGGTTCACGCAAATATGTGCGGCGACATAATACATCCCTCAAGAATGGATTTGCACTGAAATGCCGGTGCATTCATTGACAAAGCTTGGCAAATGGTCACACGGAGCCCTATTTTGGCTGTAGGGGGAAAAAAAACAAAGAGAAGAAAAACGAGAAAGAAAGGCGCACTAAATTGCAGCATAAAATCAAGGTCGTACAGACGGCCAACGCAAACGGTGGTTCCTCCTGTCATCCTCTGCATAATCATAGCATCACGTTTGCATATGGAACAGCCTTTTTCGTTATTGCTCTACTTCATAAAAATATAAGGAACTTAGAACAGACGTACACATTACAAACTTAAGGTTCTTTGGTGAAGAATGAAAAAAACAGTATTTTCGCAGTACATAGATCCCGGAAGCAGACTTTCTGCTTCTATCTGCTGATCCGCTGGATCCTCTCGCAGAGGAGGGACAAGTACTGGGTCAGTTTGACCATGGCAACGATAACGAGTCCTCCCACCATCATACACGATGGCCAAAAGAGTGAGTGGAACAGAACGTTGGAACTGTAAAGTTTGGTTAGCAGCACATTCTTCTGGACCCCGTCTGGGTCGTAAAAACACGAAAAGTGCTGGTACTTCTTGAAGTTTTCCATGACGACATTCACAAGAGACAGAGACTCCTCAAAGTTCTTGCCGCATCTGGGTATGTAGGAGCACTGTTGAGGAAGAAAGAACAGGGAAGAGATGGTGTGTCTCTAGCCAAACAAAATATCCCAAACGTTTTCACTATTAACCCAAACCATCATGACCATGACCGATTCCGCACAAGCAGCTGTGCCGCCCTCACTTTTCTGTTTCCCCCGCTTGCATCGGTCAATTTCACACTGTTCGCTGTGCAGCGGAATTTTGACCCACAGCTCCCCCCCGATTCCCCCTGTGTCTTCTTGATCCTTGTTTTTTGAGATCGAGAAGACGCGGGGGAAATCAGGGGGAGCTGTGGGTCAAAATGCGGCCACACAGCAAATAGCGTGAAATTGACCAATGCGAGGGGTGGCACAGCTTCTTGTGGGGAATCATTCCATGTTTCCCAGGCTAGTAGACATGTGAAGGTTCTCCTCTAGTACTCTCATAAAAGCACAATTCCCAGAAATCCTGGCGAGAGGACATACTGTTGAAATGGGTTTTAAACTATCGGCTGTCTGCATTCTCATTTTCCTGGCTTGTGAATTCCTATTGCTTTGGTTTCCCCCGTTCTTCTGCATGTCTTTTGCTCCCTCTGGTGGCCGATTTGATATCACATAGGTTTATGTCCACCATATCTCCCTGAAGATTTAAACTGCAGGTTTTTATGCCAGACATAAACATATGTAATATGGAATCGAACACTAGAGGGAGCAAAACACAATAACTTACAAGCAAGGAAAATGAGAATGTGGAAAGGTACTATGAATACTTCTGATTTTTGCCTCCCTTGATATATTTTCCCATTGGGAAGATGCAGCAGCTCTATTTGGGGAGGTTTTTTGGGGGGGGGGAGGTAGAGATCTCTTGTACATCTTTGTGTCTAAAATGCTTTCCCGAGAATATTTTTACAGACTTAAAAAAAAAAGACTTTTTAGCCAATGCAGGTTTTATACTTGAATTAAGGAAGGGAGAAAAGCAGAAGCCGATTTTAAGTGTCATTTTAAAAAGTGCCTTTATTTAAAATGCCTGTGGGAGATTCCAAACATCAACACTGTTGATGCCCATGATTGCTAGTTAGGTAGGATTATACGATTATAGGCTTGATCCATAAAACAACCTTGGCTTCTGTTAAAGTGAAAAGGGGAAGGGGGGGGAAGAGGAGGGCAGCGGCTTAGTGCTAGAAGCATGCTTTGTATTGCTAAAGCCTTCGGAGTCCTGGGCATTGCTGAAATTTTCAATTAAAATGCATCTCAGACAGTAAGGCCAAAGACTAGGGTTGCCGATAGCTCTCAACCGGCAAGGGTGTGTATGCAGGGAAGGGGGGAAACGATTTGCCACTGTCATGCCATCACTTCTGGCAAAGACATCAATTCGACACTCTAGGATTTGGGGCAGAACTCTAGGGTAAAACCACAGAGCTCTACCCAAGTCCTAGAGCATCCTACGGACACTGCACTGGCAGCGTGATGTCACTTCCAGGTATTCGCTGGAAGTGATGGCACGCTGCTGGTGCGGTGCCATGAAAAATCAGATTAACAGGACTTTGCTGTCTCTAATCATTGCTGAAAATCAAAGCACCTTCCTCCTGCATCTCTTCGGCAAGTAAGGATGGTGTGACCCATGAGGCAGAAAGGCCGTTCCGGATTCATGTTGACCTTTAGAGGGTTGCTAGTCCTGACCTTCAGGGATGGGAGTGCAGCTTTCTCCACAGTGCTGTCAGCAACATCACTGGCTGAACCAGCTGGAGGTAGGAGGGAAATGACAACCCGGACAGGCTGGGGGTGGTGGTGGTCCGTGCTTTGATTGCTCCAGGAGGCTGCCTCCGTAGCAGCCCGTGAAAGGGACGTCAAGCCTAACAGCAGGAGGTGCCCATCAGCTGCTCTTCCAATAACGGATTACATTTTCTGTTTGCCTCGCTACCAGTAAAAGAATCATCCCGCACTGTTCTGTGAAATGCGTTTTCATGCTGTAGTTTTTGCACTGAAACTCCTGCTACTGAAGGGATGCTACTATAACATCCCTTCTTCCTGAGTGGCAGGCATCGTATGAAAAGCTGCAGACCACATGGGAAGAGCCCACACTAGGGACACCTGTTGGGCTGCCACTACTACTGGAGGTGGGAAGGATTAGAGCAGGGGTGGCCAAACTGTGGCTCGGGAGCGGCATGTGGCTCTTTCACACATATTGTGCGGCTCCCAGCAGGCTCCCCATCTATTTGTCCTTCCTTCCTTCCTTCCTTCCTTCCTTCCTTCCTTCCTTCCTTCCTTCCGTCCTTCCGTCCTTCCGTCCTTCCTCCCTCCCTCCATCCCTCCCTCCCTCCCCCCATCTATTTGCTTTCTTTGTTTCTCTCTCTCTCTCTCTTTCCACCTCTCTCTTTCTCTCTCTCTTAGACAAACAAATATCACCAGCAAGCAAGTAAATATCATTGGACAAATAAATATTATCAACCCCTTTTACCCTTTTGTTTTTATTTTTGGCAGTTTCATTCAAAGTGAATAAAAAGAAAATTCGCATATTTCCCCAATAAAAAACGTGTGTGTCATATTTGTTCATGTCTCGCGGCTCTCAAACATCTGATGCTTGTTCTATGTGGCTCTTATGTTGAAGTCCGGCCACCCCTGGGTTAGAGTGTGCCACCCTCCTGCTAATGAAGTGGAGAGAGCTGGGAGAAACATGTCGGTCCATCTAGCTCAGTGGGGTTGTCTCTTCTGGCTAGTAGCAGTCCTTTGGGGGTCTTGGGGAGAGAAAGGTCATTCCCAACACCTGTGGGCTGAAATTCTTTAACCAGAGGTGCCAAGGATTGAATGTGGCCCCTCTGTAAGTAAATCATATCCACTACCCCGAAGCCCACATGACTCTGGAGTAATAGAAATACAAGGCCCAAACTGTTTCTGGTGGGTTTGAGAGAAGTTCCAAAGTTGCCAATTGTGGCTAGACAAATTCCTGGAGAGTTGGAGGTGGAATCTGGGGAGAGGAGGCAGCTCAGTTTGGTGTAGTGGTTAGGCGCGCGGACTCTAATCTGGGAGAGCCGGGTTTGATTCCCCACTCCTCCACATGTGGCTGCTGGCGTGACCTTGGGTCAGTTATAAGCTCTTTCAGAGCTGTTCTCTCAAGGGAACTTCTCGGGAAAGCTCTCTCAGCCCCACCTACCTCACAGGGTGTCTGTTGTGGGGAGGGGAACTGTAAACTGCTCTGAGACTCCTTTGGGTAGTGAAGGGCGGGGTATAAATCCAATCTCTCCTTCTTCTTTTCAGCACGGATGTGATTCCACAGAGTCCACCCTCCAATCCTGCCATTTCCTCCAGGGGAATTGATCTCTGTAGACTAGAGATCAGTTGTAATTCTGGGAGAACTACAGACCTCACCTGGAGGCTGGCAACCCTAGAGGGATGTGTGTGTTTCTTGGATCTTCTTAGCGAAGTTATGTTACTTGGAAAGGACTAGCACTTTACGGGCTGTTCAGATTTTGGGAACTGCATTTGTCCTTGCTTTAGGAATGGCAGAACGGGAACAGTTCCAAGGGCTTCTGGAGACGGGAAAGAGTAGCAGAAAGTATGCTTTACGGGGGAAGGGTATTTATTTACTTGGTTTCGTAGACTTTTTGTTCGCCATGCCCACTCTGAAATTAAGAGTGCAATAAGAGGCTCAAATAATGTCTAGTGCTAGAGGTCTATTTTCCAGTTTCTGTTTAACAATTGAGGTAATTAAGATAAGATGGAGCAGAGGTCCGTCAGTGGCTATTAGCCACAAGAAATAGACAGAACACTCTGTCTGGGGCAAGGGATGCTCTGTATTCTTGGTGCTGGGGGGGCCCACAGTGGGAGGGCTTCTGATGTCCTGGCCCCGCTGGTGGACCTCCTGATGGCACCTGGTATTTCTGGCCACTGTGTGATACAGAGTGTTGGACTGGATGGGCCATTGGCCTGATCCAACACTGGCTTCTCTTATGTTCTTATAACGGGATCTATAGACCCCTGATTAGGGTGACAGTGAGTTTGAGGAGGGGGAGTCGGTCTAAGGCCGCACCAGGTTGCTTAGCGCAGGCTCAGTCCCCGGCAAGTGACCAGTTGATGCCCCAGGGATCCACCTGGTGGGAACCGCCATCTTGATCCCTGTACATGTGCATACCTTAGCATGGGCCTCGCAATAAAAACGGAGTCTGGATCAAACCGATATCAAAATGGTAGTGAGTCGCGCTGAGTGTCTGAAAGAGAATGTGAAGACGGCTCCTCCGTCAACTGCGCAAAAGCCCATCTCTGGTGGGAGTCAGTCGAAGGGCCTTTAGAGGGTCCCCTAAGGGGTCCCCCTCCCTGATCATCTGGCTTTAACAAATGAGCCAAACAATCAAGACACTGAGCAACGGGCCAGCCCCAGCTATTTCTTTCTTACCCTAAGTGCTGGACAGGAAGACTTCTCCCCCTGCTCCATCATGTACAACAGTCATCAGCAGGGCTATCTTTGGGCAGGAACGCACAGGAATGGAGTTCCGGCTGGCTCCCAAGTTGGCCACGCCCAGCAGGAACTCATTAGCATAACAGGCCACACCCAACAGCAGGAACTCTTTAGGATTGGCTACATTAGGGGTGTGTGGCCTAACATGCAAAGGAGTCCCTGCTACAAAAAAAGGCCCTGGGTTTTGACAACAAACAAGGTAAACAGAATAAGAAGCAAAAGGTGGGTGTGGCTGGATGACCACACTTCTGGTAACATGGGGGTGCGGCCTAATGTGCTAATGAGCTGTGCTGTCACGGGTGTGGCCTAATATGCTAATGAGTTCCTGCTGTTGGGTGTGGCCTATTATGCTAATGAGTTCCTGCTGGGCTTTTTCTACAAAAAGAGCCCTGGCATCAGCACCTCCCTATCTAAACTCTCAGTCTCCCTAAAGGAACACTTCTCCTTTGATGCTTTTACCTGTAATGCAAAAGAAGAAAACTCCCCTCCACAATGTATATACCCCCCCCCCATTTTCAAATTGGCTATCTCCAAAGAGATGGACTTTTCATCACTCCCACATCCCGGTGCGAACGTCTCT